ATGCAGTGGAAAGAGCAGGCAGCAGGCACCGTGTGCTGGGGGAAGAGGAGGACAGGGCACTGGGAGCCAGATCTTCAGGGGTTAGGGAATGATCTGTTCCTCATCAAACCTTCCTCACACCCGCATAAACCTTCACTCCCCAGCTGTCCCCCCTCCTTCTCCCACTAGTAGTCAACAGCCTTGTGCAGTAGGACCTGTGGATGGAGACATCCCAAAAAGGGAAAGCTAGGATCCTCTAGGAATTCCCATCAACGTGCCAAATACAAAATACCGAAACAACCCCCTCTCAGCAACAGACTAAATATGGTGTATACCCAAAGGATCAGAGCACCGGCCTGAGGGAAATTATTTCTCTTGACATCAACAGCCCTGTCCTCTCTGGAAAATACACACTCCTGGAGAAGATGGATGAGGCTCATATTGGTCCCATCATCCTAAGAAAATACCTATGAGGGGAGGCTGGGCTGAAAACCCCTGCTGTCACTTGGTCAGGCACTTGCAGGTGTGATAGACCCGTAGCAGCCCCTTCTTCTGGCTCTAGTAGGTGGTGAACAAATTTGGACAAAAAGGAGAGAGGGAAAGAGCACTGGGGTTTCTTCCCTACAGCATTTCAGAAACATCAGGTACAGACTCATGTTCAGGCCTTGGCCTGGAGAAGTCCAGATTTGCCAGAGCAGAGACACAGTCCCAGGGGTTGGGGTCTGTCCTGCCAGCTGGAGGGTCACTGTCCCCTCTGGTGTGGGGCTGCCCCACAGCCACGCGGGGCCTTCCCGGGACCCGAAAGGCAGCAGTGTCATGTCAGACTCGTGCACGTGTGACTGCTGGGGCAAAGCCAAGGGGAATGATCACCATGACACAAATCCAAGACACTTGCCCTTGTTAGCAGAAAGTTCCTCATGGGTAGGTTAGTTCACCCTATTTTTTTCCCCTTAGTATCTCAGTTGCAAGCTTAGCTTTTAAATAGAAAAACGATGAAATGCAAGGGGAGCCTCTGAAAAGTATGATCATTTTAATATTCATCGAAGTTACCCTAAGAAGTTCCTTTTCAATGCATGCAGCTGTTTCACAAAACCAGACACATTATAATAGTAGCTTAAAAAGGAGTGGAAATTATTCTGGCTGGTCTGCAAACCGCTGCATGTGCACACGCAGGCTTGCTGCCCGAGCAGGGTGTTTAACAGCGGCAGTGCTGGAGGGTGATATATGGTGTGACATTAAAGGGAGCTGGAAAGTCTAAAAAAATATTACTGTTGGGACTGAAACAGTTGCACTCTCGAGCTGTGTGGGGTAGAAACTGATAAGTATAAGCAATGGCTTCCAACCTTCACTTATAAGTTAATGTAAGAATATACTAATCTAATAGCCTGGCTGGGGTTTCCTGAATGTTGTGGTTTTTTCTTTTAAAACCAAAGTTGCCTCAAAAAGAAAGCTGGGGATTCCCAGTGGACAATGACTTTATGGAAAAAAACCCCAAACACCCAAAAAAACCCAACAACAACAAAAAAATCGCTTTATTTAACCCCCCCGGATTTGTTTATTTATTTGTTTTAATTAATTTTCTGGAAAAAAATATTGAGCTGACTGTCCTTAAATATTTCCCTGCTGAATTTGCACTGTAAATATTGTACTTGGGAAAAAAAAAAAAAGAGTACCCAAGAAGGAAAGAAATGAACTTTCAGCTGCTTTAGTGTGGTGTAACCTGAACACAACAGAGGGGAAAAAGAAAAGCACAGATGGCGATGTTAATTTGTTAAATAATGTTGCAGATAAGCAATTTTTTTTGTTTGTTTCAAAATATTTTTACTTAAGTTTTTACCACCCACATTTCTCTAAGCTGACAAATGTAACAGGAACTGCAAAGTGCACCGGTGGGTTACCACCTGTGTCAAGCTGTGCCCTTGCAACAGGAGGGACAGCGTTTGTCCAAGTTAGAACAATTAATCATGACAACAGTCTGATGAGGTGAAATACTCGCCAACTGCTTAATGTTAAGCTTTGTGCTTAGCGCTGGCTGCAGGTCAAGGGAAGCGTGTGGAGAGCACAGGTCGGTCTGAATCAGCTGGGCAGCAGCTGCTGCTGAAAGGGTGTCTTTGCAAGCGTGAACAAATATTTGGGGTTTCTTTTCCTAAACGTAATTACCCAGCGATAATCACTGCTCCGGAAAACTGATCGACTGACACCGAGCCTGGGCTCGATACGGAGGGTGCTCAGGAAGGAAGGAGTAACCGACCCCTCGGAGCTGCTGATAAAGCTTCGGAAAAAGCCTCCCCTGTGCGTGACAGAAACTCAAACCTCTGAAGCAGTACGGATGCTGTGGAGTCTACAGATGTAGTTTGCTCCCATTCTAGGGGAGAGCAAAAATTGGGTTTTAAAGAATTTTTTATTTTTAAAACTTGGGGGTTGAGCTCTTCCAAAGTATTTTGCAGATCTGATATCCACAGCAAACTTCGCTGGCTCCTTGTCACCTTCACTTGTGATAACAAGCTTAGACAAGGAACAGCACCCTCTTTTAATGTAAATCCCTCCATAATCTCTTGGTTAAAGTTTTATCTCCAACAAAATTCAGAAGTGGATTTTTCTCATTAAAGCCCCTAAACTTCTACTTGCTTATAACTGTTTTTCATTTTCTGATGTCAGTAGAAAGAATAAGGGCAGTTAATGCAAGACATCCCAGGCTGTAATTGAACTAGATGGTGCTTCTGCAATTATTTGAGAAAATAATTGTTGTGTATGCTCACCTAGGTGGCAACTTCTTCTAAAACCTGAACTCTTAATTCTAGGACTGTGAATTATTTCCATCTAAATATTGATCTCACTTACCTTAAAATTTTAAGGAATAAGTGCAACCGTAGTTTTGCAGTTCCTCTTCACCCGTTAACAAGGCAGGAGGTCTGACCTTCCTAGGACTCACTGTATGTCAGCATCTTGAAAGATGCTCTTGTATTTCATGTACTGTCAAGATTAATGTTAGACTATTAAATAATGTGATTAGACCAGTATATTTTCAGAGACATGTTTCAAAGCTTTGTTGTACAAATAAATATCACTGGAAATACACTTTAATTTGATTTTAGTTTGCTTGTACAATGACTATACTTTGAAACAAGAGATTGTTCCAAAACCCCAAATTGGAGAATTAGATGAAATTCATGTTGCACCAAGAGCAAACAGGCTGCTGTTTCCACTCACTGTTTCAGTGCAGTGTCTGGACAATGGGCTGAATTTCCCCAGGAAAATAGTCCCAATTCCCACTGTTTTAAACATGTTTCTTTGATTTCAGGCATACATCTTTGCCTCAAAGCTCAGGGAAGGACACCCTTGTAACAGCCTCTGCTTCCTGGACTGTGGAGACCAGGAGCCTGCTGAGCTGTGTGCTTGGGAAAGGGCAAGTACCAAACACCCCTTTGCCTTCTTCAACCAGGACAAAAATTGTATTTCATTTCTACCACTAAAAATCCATTTCCCAGGGAGCTCCTTGGCACCTGGGCAGCATCTGAATGATCTATGATGGGAAGACAGAAAGCAGAGGCAGTGGCTTTGGTTACACTGAAACATTTGCATAGCATAGAAGGTTAGAGATTCTGTGTTTCCCAGAGCCTTTTTTTTTTTCCCTTGAGAAGACAATTCAGAATCCAAATTATACATAACGATTTGGAGAAACAGAGGTCTAGCATTTAACCTCTGGAAAACCAAAGTAAAAATTCAGGGATTTCTGTGGCCAGAGCAATCATTTCTACGTTGTTCAGAAATTAATTTTTGCAACTTTTCCACTTCCAGTTCATTCCAAAATGAAGGTAACTTACAAATAACACCTTAGGAGATCAACTTGATACTATGTTTTAGATAAAGAAATTAAGAGAGAGATCAGTGATTGTGAATTGTGAATATTTGCATTAGTGTGGCAGGCGAGAGCCAAGTAAGGAGGCAGAATCCCATGGAGCAGCTTTCACAGGGATGGCTCTCCAGCCCACCAGTTGAACCTGGAGGTGCAAGCTCAGAGCAAACACTGAGGGCGTTGAGAGAGTTGCTGGCTTGACCCACTGGTCAACTACTCAACTACCACTGATGCAAAGCTACAGGAGACCGACAGATGGGTTTGGTCGAGGTTGACTTGCAAACATGCCCTCCCCTTCTGGCGACAGTCCTGAGACACTCCCAAATCAGCAAAGGCAGGGCTGGCAGCATTGCCAGTCACACCAAGAGATGAGCTCACTGCTGGGCTCCAAAGGGGTAAATGCAGCCTCTCCCTTCAAGCTGTAACTTCTCTGCAGTTTCAGAGCACAGACAAGCCTGCTGGCAGAAATAAAAACACACCTGCAATGCTAACTGGGTCAAATCAAGGTAAAAGCAAAATTTCACAGTGTGTACAACTCAGGGTCCTTCCAAATTCACAAGCTGCATGTTCTCTTCCTCCCTTCCTTTCCCCCTACTCACTGTACCATTTATCTAATGATTAAGATTTTTAGGAACTTGACCCTAAAAATTTATTTATATGAAATTCCTCTCAATACCACTGGAAACATTTAACGACGATACATTTTGTTAAAATGAGTAGAGAAAAAATAGCTGTTATTTTTATGTACCCTTGTAAGTCTGACTTCTGAAATAAATTACCATTTCAAAACATGTAAATACCTCAGCTAAAAAAGAGCTCCGGGAATCAGTAATCTGTGATAAACTTTATTTTTAGCTTTGCCTGACTTGGAGTTTCATGTTGTTTGGGAAAAAAACCCAAAAGTTCCTTCCCCTCCCATATACCCAGTGCTAGACCATACAATTTTTAGCAACTCCAGATGGAAAAAACTTACCCTGACTTGTTTGGTGGCATTAAGATAAATATAGTCCTCACTTCCGGAGAATTAAAAACAACTAGTCCTCTAAAGCACTTTAATTTTCAATTAAAATTTATTTTCCCTGACTTATCTGAAATTAGCAGCTTCTCCTTTTTAAAAAGATGATCAGAAGATTTAGTTTGAACACTCTCAAAAAACCACACAGAATAAAATTGAAAACTTTTATTAAGAAACACAGGATAAACGCACGGAGACATAACATAGCAGGGAAAGTGCAGAAATGGTAAGTTACTTAACAAAAATCTATTGGATAAACCCAGTATTTTCAAGCCAAATTCTAGACACAGGATTCATTGATGTGACCTCCTATACAGTTTTCCTTCTGCCAGCACTGGAGAAGGAGAGCCTTTGCTAATGGTTTTTTTTTTTCATTGACAGTAAGTAGGATGTCGTCGTCTTGTCTCATGGGTAGATGTTACAAGCTGAAATGGTCCCACTGGATTTGTTGGAGGAATTTATGCCACGAAGAATGTCCTAAATTAACTCTTTACATGAGAAATTAGCGAATGAAAGATTTCATCTCTTTACACTTTGTAAAACAAGGGGCTCTTCGATGCTTGTGCCAGCCATCCTTCCTGGTTCTGGAATTCTGTCTGAAAATGAAACACAAATATTCTCATGCATCTGGAGGACCAAAGGTGTGTTATTTTCTACTATTATCACCTTTGATAAACAATATCAAAATCAGGCAATTTTACAAATAAATGTTTCCATGCACCTGTATGAAATAAAAGCTTTGCATTACCCAAGATTAAATTTCAGACAACTTCCAACTCAGCTACAGAGAATGAACTGAAACAGAATCCACATTTTATCAGGGTCCCCAGTCTGCTGGAATATTCAAGCACCTAAATAATCAAGACATTTTCTAATATGAAAAGCAAGTTAGATGTTAAATACGATTAATCTTGAATTCTGTAACTAACTGTAAACAATTAAATCTCCATGTGAAGTTATATTGGAGTTAACAGGGCAGGGTGACCCAGCACAGAGTCAGAATTTCAGAACTGAGAGACAAAGTTATACTTTAAAAACAGTTCTTCTGCATATTGAGTTTGTTTTAAAAATGGAGAAATTTCTGATAGGAATCATTATTTTCTAACAAAGAGGAAATTTATAGCAGTTTTGGTATGGAAATTCTATTTCTTCAGCCCCCTCTTCTGGCAGAAGGGAAACAGCATTGTCTCAATGAATTAACTGTTTAAAAAGGGGGTTGATGCTTCTTCTCACACTTTTTAGATGTCAATATAATCTCAGGCCTAGTATTTTTCAAATTTTTGGATACAAACCCAATAGTTGATGGCACTAACAGTATAGTACTAAATTCTCACAGGAAAAATGAAGCAATATGCCAAGCAGACTCTGAAGTAAAAACTGGACCAATGAACCCTTTCATCCGGTAGCTTAGGCAGCATTAATTGTAACCAATCAGAAAGCAAACCAGAAAGGGCAAATACGATTTAGCAGTGTTTACTACAGAGCAGTGAACTCAGGGCTTAAGCTCCTGTGGTCAATGGGATATGAATTATGTCCTCAGAAAAGGTTTATGCCCATCTACAGAACTGACAGCTAAAGAGTTAAGAATTTTCTACAGAAATTAGGTAAGTTAGACCAGATAGGAAACAGAGATACACCCACTATTTAATATATTTTATTGAGAATCTATGTTAAATTTTTGTATTAAATTGCCAATGTAGTAAGACTGTCTTTAGCTGACCCTTTTCATAGTTGTGATAGTATAAGGGAGTACAATTTGGCCAGTTTACCTTTTAGGGAAATGGTGAAGCCATCTGGTGTATGACCTTTTTTTTTACAGAAAGGTGTCAGCTCAAAGCATTCCTCACACAGAGAAGGAGCTACACTGTGTCCATCTGCGTGTTTATGCTGCTCTAAGCATAGGTATGGTATAGGAAATCTAACCACAAATAAAGCTTCTGCAAAAATGACACTGCACTCACCTTTTGGATTTCTCTCAGTAGGTGGTTTGATGAGGTTCTGCTTTGGATAATTCAGCAAAGACCCTTTTGGAAGGGTATTGCGGGTACTTTCTTCTTTACCACCATGTAAGAAATGAGAGATAATTCCATACAGCAGAGGTCTGTTTAAGAGAGAAATTACAAAGTAGTCTATAAATACTGAGCATTAAAAATACACCCTTTACTTGGAACTTGTTAGGCCCTAATATTTACTTCTAGAATATGTACCAATGTCTTTATAATGATATAAGATACATTATGCCAAGTATCGTTACATAAATAAGCACAGACCTAAGCTCACCCTGAACATCAACACTCCCCTAAAAAGCTTGGAATAAGAGATGCTCTGCACTGAACTCCAGATCCCCTGGTAGGTGATGAACCAGAGCTTGCTTAGCACAAGAACACAGATCCACATTCTCTCCTTTGAGGATCAGAAGGACCCACAGGCTCACAAAGGATCAGATTTTGGTGGGCTATACACCAGCCCACCACTGCACACCCCAGACTTGGTTCTTCCTAAGCACCTGACAGACTGAGACAGCACAAACTACAGAGAATGCTGAACGTGTTTAAACCTGCTTCTGCCCTCAGCTCACTGATGCCCTTGTATCCGAGCACTGTGACTTTATATCTAATCTCACAGTAAAATAATCTTTTTATTGCTCTATAAAGCAGCTCGTTGATATGCAAAGAACATTTGTGTTTTCTGTAGAAAACAGACTGTGCTGGTAAAAGACTGTGTTTTGGTGTGCAAGGACACTATCTGGAGAATGCCAGTCTTGGCAGGATGAAATGATAGTTCGGAGTGTGTTTGAAAACGGCCCCATGTTTGCCGTCGTGAATCCAGCCCATCAGAGCCAGGTGTGTGATCCAGTCACATTTCAACTGGTGAGAACATTTATATGTGATTTGTAATAACACTAAAGAGGAAAATATACTCATATACAGAATATACCGTGCATTCCAGAAATCCTCCTTACACTGATTTTCCACTTGCGTCTTCGACTACATTCAGCTCTTTGGCAAGAAACTGTCTATCCAAGGGCACCTCAGGCTGGCCGGATTCTGGAAAAAAGATTGTCCCCAAATTCTTAAGACTGGTAAGAAAAACACCACCAATTAGCAGGAGACTTCAAAAGAGCAGAAGAACCCACACTTCCCTTTTAGACTATTACTAACAGTATATTATAATTCCAGGGAACTCACTTATAACATTAGTGCTTCAAACTCATATAATTTGCAATTACCACTTTACCATTTTTATCTTCACTCTAAAAGGATCTAAGAAATTAAAGAAGCCTTACAGTATAAAGATAAATAAATCAGGCAAACAACTCTTTCTCTAAAGTACCATTATCAGATGTTTCAAGAAAAGTATTTTGAATTTGCAGGCTGCAAGCAGGTTTTCTGGCTCCTGCATCAACTACTCTGTAAACAATATAACTTAAGGGGCAGAGAGTAAGTTTTCTTAAAAACTAATTGTATGATTTGGCTTCACGCTGCATGTAAAGCTGTGGAGAGGTTGCTTGTACCGCATTAATTTCCAAGGGAAGATAAGATTGTGCGGCTCGTCCCACTTATTAATTCCATAGTAGCAGTGGAATTCCTCAAACAACGAATGGCTATAATTACAGCGATGACAGGAAGTCGTCCCCAGTACCTGCAGTCAGCACAGATGCCGTGTATTTGTATCTGTTATATTCCAGGTATTCGCGGATCAGTTCATTGATCAGCAGGTTCTCCCGGGACAGCGGCGGCCGTGCCTCGCTTTGGTCGTCCAGTGCATTGAACACTTCAGCTCTGATCCTCGCTTTGATTTCTGCAAGAGCGCCTCTTTTTTCCAGTGTGTCCTTTAAAACTATCACCACAGGAAGGTCTGTTAATTTAGAGCCCGAGGCATCCCAGCATAAACATAATTCCGGCGCGTCCCTATCGCGACAGCGATAAGGTATCCGCGCCTGGGCACGTGCCAGCGCCGAACGGCTCCAGGCACGTCACAGATAAAAGTTAAGCCTTCGGAGAAGTCATAAATTATACTTTTTTTTTTTTTTTTTAGTGGTAAACACACGCTCGCTAATTTCAGAAGAGGAATAACTGGAGCAGGATGTGGTTAATAGTGAGACAGAGTGGAGTACAGCCCGCTCTACATGACGGGGGGCGAAGGGCGGCGGGCCCCCTTTAGCGCCTGGGGCAGCTCCGAGACCCATCGGGCCGCCGGGACCCCCATCCTCCCTCACGGCCATCCCGGACACCTCCGACCCCCGACCTGCTTTGAGCTCCGCCACCGTCGCCATGGCCGCGCCGGGACCCGGATGGGGCCGGGCGGGCTCCGCGCAGGCGCGGGGATGGCGGAGCGGCCCTCGGGGGCCGGGGGGGAGGTTCGGGGTGTCCTCAGGGAGCGGAGCCCGAGGGGCCCCTCTGTTATCGGGGACGCCTCTGTTATCGGGCACCGCGGGCAAGGTCACGCTGGGACACAGTAATAAAATAACCAGCAGCGCCTCAGGGGTGCCTGTGGAGCTACCGCTTGGTGTCCCGGCCGTGGCTCAGCCCTGTGGCATGTCAGGGTTGCTGCGCTTTTGTCCCTCTGTAATTTCAAACGTTGTCAATGAGCTTTATTTAGAAAGAGGAAAAAAAAATTAGAAAAAGATTTAGAAAGGTAACATGGACAATAAGCGAGAATTTCCCCCAGTGTGTCGCGGAGGAGTTTTGTACCGAGTCTCTGAGAGAGGAACTCTTAGTTAATAAGGACTCGCCAGAGATGAGCTTCTAATTTAAAGGACTTGCCAAAATGTAACTGTATACGGCGTGTTCTGCAAGTCTGAGGATCCCTGGTGTGTCTGGAGGCATGTGCGTGTGCTCCGTGTTGCTGGGATGAGTCAACAGTGTTTATTTTGTCAATGCATTAAGTATTTCCCAAAGGAAATGCAGCCGGTGTGGGTGAACGAACTGGATTTGTCATGGTCTGGATGGATCAGCCTGCTGGGGCTTGAAGGAAAATGTGAGGCAGTAAAGCTTAAGACTCACAAGGCTGAAGGGTGGAGTGGTGGGGGGTTGTTGGGATTGTTTACTTGTTTGGTTTTCTACATTTCCTCTGAAAGCAAATATTTATATGATGAGCTTCCAGAGAATCTCTTGTAGGGGGCAATAAATAAAACTCAGGGAAAGAAAAGTCTTTAGAAGTACTGGTGAAGTCAATCTGTTTCCTGACCCCAGCAGTCACTGTGTCCTAGCAGTGCGTGCCTCTGTCCACCCTGTGCCTGCTGCCCGGATCCCCAGTGCGACTCTGGGGACAAACAGCTCCTTACATTTAACATGCAAGGCATTTTCACAGTCAAAACATGTTTCTCTGCATCCTTCCAAACTTCTCCATGCTGTTATGAGTCACTCTGCTATTACACCTGATTTCCATTTGATAAGTTGTTGCAGTTTCCCACCCTATATTCATGTTCAGCAACTTTCTGGTACTCTGAGACCTTGGTTCTATATCTCTGCAGGTTTGGGCTTGTGTCAGCTCTGTCTTTTTCTTCTTCACAATAAATATTTTGAGTCTGCTACATTTTTCTTCTAGAGTCTTCTGCCTCCTCTCACATTAATTATTTACTGTGTATTTTGACTGCACTTTGCTTTACATATTTGTTGTTGCTGCTGTTGCTTAGAGTTTCCAAGGGAAGGAGATTGAATTAATTGGAAAGGAAATAATTTGAGGTGCAGATGCAAGTATCATTTGATGACAAACATCATTAACCTGGTGCATGACCTCTGGTGACATTGGGACAGTTTGAAGCTGAAAAAAATTGTTATTTTGAACTAATTGGAAAGTTTGGACCCTGAATGTGTTACTTAAATTTTGTTAGTCTTTTAGCTTACAATAATATCTTGAGAAAAACATATGTGGGTAAAAATGTAATTTTCTTGATCCTCCTCACTTCATGCTTAGTTCCTGTCTTCTTGTTTGGAACAATCCCTGCGTATGATCTCTATATCCTAAATAATTTTCTGCTATATCATTTCAGCTGTAAATTTATAATCTTATATTGTGTAGAAGTGCAAGTTCTTAGATAGGCTGTTTAGCATTTTTCTGGTTTACTATTTTATTAATAGTCCTATTAAAAGAGAAAAGCTTTTCCCACTCAACTATGGGATAGCTTGCATTAATTGTCAGAGCTATTGGCATTTACACGTGCTGCAGACCACCTGGAACAAAAAGAGAATTCCTGTCAGCTGAAGGCCAGTAGGGTAACACATGTTGGAGATTGTGATGTAACTTTTTCAAGTCATAGTGAGCATTGAGACATCAAAAAACAACACACCAAGATATTTAATATGATTTAAAGATGAATATAGAGAGTACACAAAACAAGACAGAAATATTCTTAATATAAATAAAGGGAAGCATACTTCAACATTTAGCCGTTCTCTTGCAATACTATGAAGATTCTAACATGGTATAAACTAAGGTATGGGTTAAACTGACACAGACTTGTATAGCTTCTGACACCTGATTTGTTTGGTTTGATTTTTCTGTGATGATTCTGCTCAGTTCATCTGTGCAGATGAGACTTCAGTGAGGCCTCAGCTCAAGTGCTGCTGCCCCTTAATACCCTAGGAGTGAGAGAGCCAGGGGACAAGACCAGAAATGCTGCAATCAGATGGATAATCTGGCCACCACCAGCACAGCTCTGAAACTGCAGTGAAGGTGTACAGGTGAGTAAAGCAGCAGGCTGTGATACGTTTTTCTTATTTGCGATGCCTGCTTTTTAGTTACAGGTTAGACAAATGAGACCTGTCTCTTTCTTTGTCTGTTACCATAATTGCTCTGAATGGATAAAAATAATGAAATTGAGTTTTTTTATGCAACTCGTGTGATTAAACCTTTCAGATGTTACTGTAACCACACTGCTCCTTGCTGCAGCGCACAATGCCATTGCTACATCTGTGCCACCACATTCCAGCCGAACATTGATGCTGTCTATGGGTTTAACCAATGCACTTTAAGTAGGATGTGAAGAGTGCACCTTTAGACACAACCCAGTGCAACCACAGGGCTATGCAGTTAGTTTGACTAGTACATATTTTGGTGCTAACCTGTTTGTGGATGGAGTTGTTTCAGTTCATGCTAATCAACTTGAACTAGTTCAGGGCTTCAAAACCAGTATAACTGGTTCACACTGAAAAGTGAGCTGTTTGAAGGGGAGCGTAGGCTTTCGCTGTGGCCTTCCCCGAGGACGATGCCTTGGCTCAGTCCCGCGGGGCCCTGGGGCCGGCAGGACACTGCGGTGCCTCTGCTGGGGGGGGTACGTGGGGTCGCTGTACCTGGGGGCCGGAGTGATGCCGCGGGGAAGGGGATGCCGTGATGCCCCGCCGGGGTCTGCGGTCGAGCCCGGCGGGCAGGTGTGGTGCGACCAGGACCGGGGAGGCTGCTGGGGCCGTGAGACCCGGGCAGGCAGGGGGGGCAGGAGGCCGGGGCGGGCAGGCGCGGTTGAGGCGCTGCGGGGGGCGGTGATTCCGCCGCGGGTACGCGGGGGATGCCTGGGTTGAACAAAGGCACGTGTTGGGCTCCGGCCGAGCCCCCTGGAGCCGCCCCCCAAGCCCGTCCGGGGGCGCGGGGCGATGGGCACCCCGCGGGGCAGGGCCCCGTGCCGGCCGAGGCGGGGCCGCGCAGCGCGGGCGGCGGCGGCGCCGGGCTCGGCATCGGTGACGCGGAGCCAATCAGGGCCCCGGCTGGCGCTGCCGGCCCGGCCCCGCCGCCGCCCGGGCACGGAGAGCTGCGCACGGGGAAGCGCTGCCGCGGGAGCCCGCGGACGCCTCGCCCCATGGGGATCGAGAGCTTCTGCGGCGCCGACGCCCCCGAGCCCTTCTGGGTGAGCGGCGGGACGGGCACGGAGGGATGGCGGGGAGCCGAGCGGGACGGGGCTGGTGGCGGAGTCCGAGGGCGCTCCGGGATGAGCGGAGCCTGCGGTGCCGGCGCTGCCCGGGGGCAGAGCGCGGGGGCTGCGGTGCCGGAGCCCCGGGCCGGGCCGCCGGTTCTCGGTCTCCGCCTGGGCGCGATGTCCCCGCGCCCGGGTCGCGGAGGGGACACCGCCACGCCTCGAGTGCGGGGCTTCCGGCAGGGAAACGCCTGGAGCGGGGAACGGGCGGGTGGGTGCCCGCCTGGGAGACTGGGAACGAGCTCCCGAGGGAGCGGAGCAGGGCTCTGCCGGCCGCGCTGCTCGGGGCTGTGCGGTAACCACGATAACGGTGTCTGGCGGCTCGGGAGCGGGGTGCGCCCTGGAGGAGGCCACGGACACGCTTTCTGCAGGCTGGCAGCCCTGTCGCGTGTTTGCACAGCGGTGCACACCGTTCCTCAGCCGAGAGCGGGTGAGCTGGAGGCAGCTGTGCACAGGTGAGCGATGTGGGTCCTGCTCAGCGGAGACGCCGCGGTTGCGCTCGGGCACGCAGGTGCTGCAGCGGCGAGGCACCTGGTGGTGAAAATCCATCGCAGGAAGAAACAGGTTACACGGAGAAGGAGGTTGTGTGGAGGAAGGGAGGAGAGAGAGCTGGAAGTTAAAGGGAAAATAAAAAGGTGGAGTGAGAGCTACTGAAGGCAACATACGGGTGAGAGGAAAACGCGGAAAGAACTGCTTGTGTATTCATCAAATATTTGCCAAATGGTATTGAGCTAATGAGCTGCCTTACTAGTTAAAAAATAAAATAGATATCCCAGCAAATGCTATTGTACTGTTTTGTATCGAGAAACATTAATGTATTACCCAGCATATATTTAGTTTTTCCTAGCTGATCAAAATTGACTCTGCTAACCTGCTTTTACATTCTTTATGCTCGTATCTCTTTTCAGCTAATTTTCAGGTTTCTCAGAACTGGCTAAATTATGAGTCATCATACATTTTTTCCCCCTCTCCTAGTGTGAGACTTTTTATTTGAAGAGCTTTAGAGAATACATGTTTCAGAACTGGTTTATGGAAAGACTGACTTGAGAGAGTAGTGGTATGGTGAAGAAGAGCTGCTGGCTCATTCTCTGAGCTGTGGAATTGAAACATCAGGTGGAAGCAAGAACTACACTTAAGATGTTGGAAGCAGCTAGTTTATGTAGGATTTCTGATAGCAGATTCTTTTATTAGGAAAACACTATGGTTATAGGTACTACAGCCATCTCTGGTATTTGTCATGTGTCTTAACTACTCCATACATTTTTTTCACTAGTTGCATTGATTCCCGAGGTTTTGGGATTTGTCATCCTTCTCCAAATCACGTGGACTCTGCCTTTCATTTCTTCCATCTTAAGATCCTTTGGGTGTGGTTGTTTGATTTCTGGATTCTTCT